TGGCTTTTATCATCCAAACTTCCTGGTTGTCTCTTTACTGCCTGATTCATTGCCTTTGCCCACTGACCACTGCAGGCTGGCTACCATTAAGGACTGATCACCAACTAGATAAAGATTCTCCAGGTATACTCTTTCCAGAAGCGACTCCTTTGTTACCTTTTTCGGTTCCTTGTAGAAGCTGCAGGGACAAATCTGCGTGCAGGGGACAAAATGAGGGCTCTCAATCCATAACCAATTACATTAACAAAGGTTAGTGACTTTAAAATCTACAGCGTCAAACAAGTTTTAAAAAGAATGCGTACTTTTCTTTGTACAAAAACAGCAGTCATTTCCTAGCACCTGTGTGCCATGCTAGGACATAAAATTACACATTTCTCTGTTATTTTTCATTGAAATTCATTATTTTCTGAATTTGGAAAACAGTAATGCATTTTGAAATCATAACAGAGGTTCACACTAGTTCTGCTGAAGAATCCAATTTTCCTGACAACAAAGCTCACAAGCAATACAAAGAAGTAACATCCAAACATAGGATCAGTCAGTAGCCATAGTCTTAAATCACAGCAGGAGGCTTCCTTGTTCAATCCATGATTTATTTGTCTTTTTATTATTATTATGCTGATCAGGAAAAATACCTTCCAGATGCCTGTGGTATTTTATTAAAGCAGGGAAAGGTGGCGCAGCACTGCTTTACTGGCCACGAAGATCTCAGCTTTCTGGGTCAAACATCAGCACAACTGCTCACCTTGAGCACTTCCAGCAAACATTAGAACAGTGGCAAAACTGGACAAAAAGACACGTTTCTTCAGAAAGTCTGAGTTTCTTCAAAACTTTGAAGCGGAATGTCACAGATTCAATTGTCACAATGGTGCAAGGTTCTACCAGTCATGGGAGAAAACACGTTGCCAATATGAGCTTTTTGCAGCTGAGGCTTTCACCTGCCCAGCGGTGCTCCCCAAAGCAAAGTTCACCTCTCCACAACAAAAGGTGATGGTAACAAGGCTGCTGACACATCAAGGTCCATGGCAGCTCTGCAAAGCAAGGATGAACAATGTTTTCTAAGACATTGAATAGACACTTGGAACTGGGATGACTCACTGTACTTATTCTGCACAATGCAAATGTCACTGAAAACGCAGAAGGCCCCAGACCAGACATGAAGGGAGCACACTGGCAGCTTCTGGAAAGCCTGCTGCCTATGCTAAAACTGGTCGAGTTATCAGCAAGGATTTGTCAACTGAAGGCTACAACAGTGTCATTCAATGTCTACCTCAATAGGGCTTCTCAGGAGACATTTGATCGCAAAAGACGATGATATCCCAGCAGCATGTACGTTTAAAACAAGTATATCTACAAAACAACTTTTGACTGAACGTGAATGCTACAAGCTGCCAACTTCATATGCTCATTAAAGCTATTACGTTGGACCTGCTCCACAAACATAACCTTGTTTTCTAATAAGATCAAGAAAAGAAGCTGTACAGCTTCATCCTCAATATGTTCAAAGATGAGTTTCAGCAGCTGGTCAGTTAGGAGAGAATGTGCTGGAAAATGGCAGTCAGTGAAAGAATAAAAACATAAGAACTTGGAGACGTTAGCTTTTACTCTGTAGCAAAGAGGTCTGGAGATTTTGACCTATACTTCATACAACAGATTATTAAAGTGCCCTGCAGTGGTGGGCTGAAAATAAAGCAGCCAAACTGGTGTCTTGCCATTCTGGGGAGAAATGTTGTATCCAACAGAGTGTTTTCCACTGCTGTAACAAACCTATAAACAAACTATTTTATTTGCTATAACAAACATCTTTTGCTTGAAATAGTTCATCTTTAATCGCACTTAGGAAGAAAATCTTGATAAAATCACAATTAACAGTTCTTCATTTTCAGTATTTTTCAAGTACAAATTCTTGATTATTTTGGCCAATTCTTTCTAGCAAATTTTCTTATTTTTCCACAGCAAAGTTTAGTGACTGCAGCTAAAAGCAATTTGTTACTAGATTAATTACTGGCTTGCAGTGCATTTTATTCAGAACAACTTGTCATGACCGTATCAAGAGCCTAAGAAGGGGCCACTTAACTTCGTGGCAAAAACTGTCTACCACACAAGATGCTTAATACATACTAGAATAAAATCATTCTTGTATTGGAGTTAAATTGGAAGATGTTAATAGTGGGAGATGTTAAAAAACATCGGAATTGCATGAGGCATGCACTGGAGTCTGTTAAGCGTAGGACTTGCCTGCCTAGTGGGATGGAGTTGGTCACTGGCAGGTTGTAATTTATGTCAGGTAGCACTGGAAACTCTTGGCTTGTTTTTCAATCACATTTTATATTTGATTTTTAGCTGTACTTAGAAAGCAGAATTAATAAACTACTCCAAATGGAAGTGCAACATTTTCTTCTTAAGAATAGCAGAGCTCAGCAGTAGATTCTCCTGGCTGTCTGATGGTGGTTTGAAAATGGCTTAAAATGGATCAAATAGCTGAAATTACTTGAAACACACAGCATTTATTTAATGCCAGCAAGGGAAGCGTACAGCTTTGTTAATTTGATCTCCATTCCTTCTGCTAAGAATCCATCAACACTTCCAATGGAAAAGAAAAAAAAATCCCGTAATGCAGGGCAAGACAAGTGAACACTGAATTCTGGGCTGTCAATCCAATTCACCGTGCTGAGTGGCTAACGCAAAATAACACGGAAAAGTATGAATGGAATAATTAAGCAAAACATCTTAAACACACATAGCAAAGTGACAGCAAATGCAGTTCACTGTAGTAAAATTGTTGCACTTAGAGCAAATTACTTGCACTGTTTACTTTAGGGCTCTGTCAATGAGTGAAGAAAACAACACACAAATGACTTAAAATACTGGAAACAGCAATAATGTCAGGTGCTCCATAAGGGCAGCTCCCAGTGCAGGACCATCTGTGGGAACGGGACTGTAAAGTAAATTTGAGTTAAAGAAGCACATGAAGGGAAGCGTGCTCTTCAAATTAAAGCACACAGTGGGTATCAAGGTACTCCAGTTAATTTTTACCGACATTGGAACAAACTAGTGAGTTTCTGGAAAAACTTTCCGATGGGAGTAATAAGGGCAAACAATGTAACAGTGCTTATAAATCGATTTGATTAATTTATAATTGCTGTAATGGTTGTCAGATAAAGCCTGAGCTGGGCTTTGCTGAGGCGATACTTGCTGCTCCAGTGTTTCTCCTATGCTCTATTCTTCTAATTTCCCATCTCAAAGCAGACGAAGTTCTAATGCAAACAGATGCTGAGCCCAACCTGCTCAATGACACATTCAATGTAACTCATCCCTTTCTGGAATTTGACAGCCATAAAAAAGAAATAAAGTGAGGAAATAAATATCAGTTCAAGCTTTCTGCCTTGTGTTTACAGTGTCCCGCCCTAGCAAACCCTTCCAGGCTGTGCAGCCCTTGCCCCTTGTCCTACACAGCCACTCCCCAGTTCCTTTAACTGGATTTTGGTTACACAGTGATTCAATGGGCTTAGTAAATCAGCATAAACCATTACACACATTTCATTACACACATGTATTACCAGATTTGTTTCATGCCAAGTGCCCAAATTTATGCTCCCTTACATTTTTTGGCACTACAGGGCGGACTCCATGAATATTTGCAAAGTGCTTACCCACTTGCTGGGTAAGAGGAACTGTATGCATGCAATTAGAAGTAATTGCTATTGTTTATCTTTAAACAAAAATTAGCATTTAAATCTGAATTCCTGAGTAATCTTGTGTTCAATCTAAAGATTTACTGCAGAAAACTGAAAAGAAGAGAAAAAAATAATACTAAGAACAATGGCTTTACGGTAGCATCAAAAATACATCATTAGATCATATGTTTAATTAAGAAATCTCAAGCTTAAAATCTGTGGGAAACAAGGGTGTAGTCACACACTGAAAACATGTGCTGGGTGAACCAAGATGACATTGGTACTTGAGCCATCTATTTCCTGTGTTGCCCTCTCAGCCATGCCTTGGGAAGGTACCTGGGCTGCTCCACAAACAGCCCACTGAGGGTAGTGCCTCTCCTCCTGGGACGCTGCAAGAGCTATACAAATAAAGAAAACGTGTTCGGTTTTGTTGCAATCAAAATCTTGCTTATGGGCAAAAAAGAAGCATTCCTAATATATATAAGTAAAGGCAAGAATTTATTGTTAGTATAATGCAAATCTTCACAGTTTAATTCGGGAATCATCATTAGTCTAGATCTAATTATTCCAGAAAAACAAAGAATAATGCAGGATATTTATATATGGAAAAAGTTACTGTAATAGTAATCTCCCTTTTACTTGGGGTCATATCTGTATGTTTGCTAACCCAGATTTACACCTTTATCTTTCTTGATTGGTCTGCAGGTCCAGGTAACATCTGAATTGACTATGTATGGTCCCATTTACTTATGGGATACTATTTCTTTGTTTTCTGTGTTACTCCTAAAACCAGCTTTGTCAAGCTCCAGGTCTTTTAACTGACCATTACAAAGGTATTTATGGCTGTGGGGTCTCCAGTGCCAGCCTGTGCCCAATCTCTTACCATCCACCCCACCCCACCTGCCTCTAAGCCCCATCCATCCCATGTCTCCATTTCTCAATGCCTCTGCCGCCGTACCAGCCCTGTATTGCTCTACATGACATCATCGCGTTAGAGTTGTAAACATCTCTTCCTACACAGAACAACTGCTTGCTATTGCTGTCCGTATAAAACTACTGGTTTACCACACAAAGATAAACTACAGTAAAAAACATTAGATACAGACACCTGGTCAATGAGACAAATTGCTGCCATGGCTAAACTAAGAAAAACAGAGCTGCTGGCGGGTCTAGAAAAGTTTAGGCGGAGCCTGAGGCCTTGCAGACTCAGGACAAAGCTTATGGCCTGTGACTGGCCCTGACGATGCTGTATTGCAGGGCCGCACGCTCACAAATCCGCATGACAGAGCTCCAGCAGCTCCACAGATGTGCCTCCACGAGCGCATGCTGGTAACTGCATGCCCAGCTCCTGCTCACGCTTCTGCCCAGACCACCCGAGAAGCAGCCCAGACCACCCGAGAAGCAGCCCTCCGTGCTCCTATATTTGCTCTGTGGCGTAAGGGCAGCATGACTTGGGGAGCTCAGATTTCACTCCTACACCTGCTTCAGCGGCTGTCCCCACTTTATCCTGCTCATTTGCCCTGACGCTCCAGCAGAACCACAAGCTGCTGGGATTTAAGCCAGTCCATCCTTCACTTGCCATCCCCAAATTTCCTACTCTTCTGCCTTTTGGACAAACTTTCCCATCCCACTGCTTTACTGAGGCAGTATTCTACAACGCTTGGTTTGGCCTTCAGCCTCTCGTTGCCATGAGCTGCTCCAGGCTGCCAGCCCAAGTCATATGTGTTCCTGACATACAGCTGATTGGTAGGAAGAGCAGTCAAATCCTGGTCAGATCCTGGCAGGGGCACAACAGACCTTGTGACTTCAGCTGATATATTAAGCAGATTGCAGCGATGCCATTTTGAGGGAGGTTGCACATTGCAATTCGAGGAGAGCATCAGACATATGACGCTAACTTCCTGAATGGCAATGGGTCTGAACCATGCCCAGACATGCCCTGGCTTCACGCCTTTGCTATGCAGAGTCCAATAAAGTGCTTGCATTGCCTTCAGCACTGAACTTTCTGCAATCCTATTTTTTTTCACAAGTCCCCTTTTCAGAGGAGGAAAAAGGGAGGAGAGTCAAAAGGTGTGCCATGAAGTGTTACCACAACCCAAACATGGCCAGGTGTCCCAACACACAATCTGGAGCAACCTCCTTAACAAACGGTTCCCGCGGGCAGAAGAAGAATTATCATAGGATCTGGTGCACCAGGAGAGATCCTTCTGTGCTCTGAATGAGACCCCCAAAACAGCAAGCGCTGATTTACATCTTTGCTATTGCTTGAGGAAAATTTCTGTACAATTGGGAGGAGACTTCTAGATAGACAGCTACAGGGAGCCTTGTTGTTAGAAAGGCTCCTGTCCTCCTCACAGATTGACTGGGTTTGATCTATGGAAGAAACCAAGTAATGGGCTTATGCCTGCTGCTTGCATGGATGACTGCCAGCCAGAGGTGGTTTTATATATATATATAAACTGAGCAATTGTATTGTATCACTTTGAATTGCCATAGTGTTTGGGTTTTTTTAAATTATGTAATAAATCACATTTCAGCAATTACCACACAAAGGTTAAAGTATTCTAAAATAGGCAGTTATGTGCATAATATTCAAATAGCAAAACAAGACTGGTTTTGTGTTGGCCACAGCATTTGCAGACAAGTACGGTCAACTCACATGGAAAATAACTTTCAGAAGCAGCTGATGGCTTGTGCTGCATTACTTTGCTGCCTCCAACCAGGTGTGGCACAATGATCTGCAAAGTAAACTATCTAGCCCAATATTTTTGCCCTGAAAGAAATTGCCTCGGATACTTGGCCAATTTCTTCACAGTGAGGCATCCTTAATGGGTCTGCTGTTTCAGAACCCATGAGAATGGCAGAGCAGCTTCTCCAACACTGTCTCAGTGACCCAACCCAAAGTCATGTAATAGCACCAATGCTGCAGAACTGTTAAGTCAACCATTTGCTTAAACTTCTTTCTTTGGGGTTCATTTACATTAATGACATTTGTTTTCATAGAGGGTTGTCCCCTAAGCAAAGATGGTTTGTGGTGTGTGGGAAATGCTGCAACCTGTACTTTACTAATCATCATCATCATCTGCATAAGCATAGTGCTTGTGAATTAGTCTAACAAAAGTTTTAGCAAAGTTAAGTTGTGATTTAGCTTTTCAATTGTGGGTCTGCTTTACTGGGTGACATTTGTTAATGTTTAAAGTCACCAGAGGCCCATACTGCTGGTCCATTTTAGGTGGAAGCCATCCCAGGCAGTGCAGCAGCCAATGCTTTTTAGCAAGGGCTCCTCTGAGCATTCACAGTGGTAGAGCTGCACCATGGGAGATCCTGGTGATAAACTGAAAACCACTCACTACTTCTCCCTCTGCTGTGGCAGATAAGCTCTCCTTGTGGGAAGGCTGGGTTGGCAGGGATCATTCAAAAAGTAGTTACTTCAGATTGGCGCTATTCCAGATCCAGATACTGGCAATATTTAAGGGAGAAAGCATTTTAGGCAATGGGTTTGGTCAATTAATAGTGCAACTTGTGTTCAAGCGGAGAATACCTCTCGTTTTACTTACAAGTTGTGCGTTCATAAGGCTTTTTAAAAACTTTGCACGGCCTGAAGAGAATGCTCGGGCCATGCTGGCCTTGGAGATGGCCTCTCTTCCCCATTCAGGGATCTCTAAGATATTAATATCCCCAGTGGGTTGCCCAGGCTGTGAGAAAGTCAAACAGTCCCAAGACTGAGACTCTAATTGTCTGTTTAGCCACGTTAATGCTGAGAGGCAAATCACTTCCCATTGGAAGTCAGTAAGCTTATAAAAGTGATTTAAACAAAGGAACAAATAAACCCCACTTTCTTGCAATATGGTCTGTTGTCACCTTGATACATTTTACCAGAAACCTCTGAGAACTGCTGAGCTCAGAGGTGAAATGGCACAAAGGAAAATTAGATCTGTAAACCGTGATCCTGTAATGCAGCAGTAATTAATTCTCACATTGAAAATCCATGTCTTGCTATCTGAAAAAGAATACTGGTCACCATTGCATCAGGCCAAGAGAAAATGCACCTCTATACCCAAATTAAGAGGCAAAAAATTGCAGAAGTTATTGCAGGCATGTGGGAATTGCAAACCCTGGCAGGGTTCTTGAAAGAGAAATCCTTTGGCGGAGGTGGACCAGAAACACTTTGACCATTGGTTCAGTGATGAAGGGCCGCAAACGCTGATTCAGGAACTCATGCAGAGCGTGTGCAAGTCCCAGCATTGGCACTTCTGCCAGGGCTCTGAGAAACAGCTCCGACAGACACAAGGACACGTGGTCCTTGTCTCACAGCTTGCCCTCCAAGTTTGGAGGCAGGCATCCCAAACTCCTCTGAATCTCTGGTCTATTGCTTCCCAAAGAATGAGAAAGGCAAAGACGAGCATTTTATGAGATGCTTGTGTGACCTCACATAGTGGTCAAGGCAACCTCTTCAGTTCATGCCAAATAAAAGAGGCGTCAGGAAAAAGAAGACCTCAAATGAAAGAGAAATCACAACTCATGCCCCAGTCCTAGCATTTCAGAAGTTTGAATTTTGGCTGGTTTGCATGCATTCCCATGGTTTAAAAGTATATTTACTTCAGCTTAGCATTCTGACAGGGCTCCTTGAATATTTTCTTGTAAGCTTTGTCAATTTAGTATGGTTCTCTGTTTAAACGTGTCATATTGTTCCCCACAGTAATTAAATGCTTTCCTAATAAAGTCCAAAAACTAATCTGTGACAAAACACCCTGGGCAGAACAACAGCCCCAAACACCAAAAGCTTATACACTTAAGAAAATATAGACCACATGGCCTGCAAGAAATTAGGACAATGTGTTGCAAGGTATTTTGCAACTTAATGCTGTACATGGTTGCAGGCAATTACTTATTTAAGCACCTGTAAAGAGCAGGGAAGTAAACATGTTCAACACCAGTTTCACTAGCCTCTCTTGGCCTAGGTCAACATTGTTTATGTGACTGCTTTATGACTGTGGAACTCTGCTACCTTTGAGCAACTAAGAACAAAATGTTCTGCATGTCCCTTGTTGTGTGAGGTTGCTTTCAGGTCATGCCGGAAGATGACAGGCTCAGTTCCCCCTAAACTGTGAGAGTGAGCAATACGTGTGGCAGTAGGTTTCAGCTGTCCAAGGAGGTGAGTGCTCCCCAGTTTCAGAACATGTTGAAGTGGAGCCTTCATCCAAATGGGTGTTTATGAATGTTCCCCAACAGTCTTCTAATCCTGCAGGACAAAGGAATACTACTTTTTGAGGTTAACTTGGCTGTTTCAAACCACTTTCAATCAAGTGGACATCTGCATCCTAGAACATTCTAAAAACTAGCTAATATTCCAGGTGTGTTCCTGATAACGTGGTTTATCTATTGAGTCTAATAGTTGACTGGCCAACACCAGTCCAGGGTGGCCAGCCTCTACCATTTCTTGACTGAGACACTTTGGATTTGAGGCAGGTTCCTCAGGTTCTGGGATCATTAGCATTGTTCTGTCTGCAGGGAGAGGTATGAACATTGTGGGCAATGATATTTATCCTGCTCAGAAAAGCCCGCTATGTAGCCATGTATTAGATCTTCCACATCTGTACTGCTTCCTTCCTTCATGCTTTATCTCCTCCTTAGAGCTGTAATGTCTCTGTAGAGTATGTCTGCGTGTTGTTCCCCAAAAAGAACACATGACTTGCAGACGTAAAGAAGGTCCATGCCTTTTTTAAATTTTCTCCACAGCAGTAAGCATGAAAGTCTGAATCTAGATCAGTAAAGTGCAGACTTTGGAGGATTAAAATAGCCTCTAGCTTTGGGCTAATAAAGAAACACAAATCAACCTTCCCAAAGGGAAAAAGCTGGTTTATTGGATCTTATAGGAAACCTGCAGCCAAAAGTTCCAAGCAGCACAGCTTGCACATGGGGATGACAACTTTGCATAAGTTTCAGAAAGCAGCGTGGGATTAAAAAAGAAAAAGAGTTTTGCACTTCCCAACTTGCAGGACAAACCCAAGTATATACATCAGCAAGTGGGAGAATGATGCGATTAAGCAGCACAGACCTTGTAATCCCTTCAACACAAGCACACCTGGTAACAGGCTTTTTCATGTCAGGTATAAACCATACATATGTTTCTATTCTATAGTGCTGCAAAATTTAACAGATGAGATTCTGGCAGATTTTTGGGGATCCGTGGGTGGAATTGTATACATGAGATAAATAACTACATATTGCAAAGACTGAATTGATGAATATTTCCTATCTTATGTGATGCAGCTTTATCCTTGTTAAACTTACATACCTGTGTCAAGCCTCAATTATTTAACTGATTTTCACGGAATTTCTCTCTTTTTACTGTAAAATTCTAGAGCAAGAACCATGCTTTTTTATTTGTTTATGTAGAACCATCGTACTGGAGACCCTGCTAGTCCTCTTCCA